CCCCATCCAGCATCTAACAACCTTTTTGTACTAGACCACACATGTCTCCTTGGTGAAAAAAAAAAAAAAAAAAAAAAGAAGAGAAAAAAGCCCAAGCACATGTAGGAACAGTCCAGCAATAATTCAACAGCTGTAGAAACCCAGAGCATCAGACTAGTTCAACACATTAAGCTGCAAATACACTGCCTAGGATTGAACACTCTCAAAGAAAAGCCTTAAGGCATAAAGGATTCAAACCCATAAACTCAATTCTAATCAAAGGAATCAAATACACCAGTTAATTATGAAGGTAAGTGTGAAGGGTCAAGGTGTGATGGACTTAGTCACTAGGCCTCTGTGCTACAGGCAAGGCTGCTGCTGCCAGGAGGAAGGTATAATAAAAGCAGGGATGTTTGGGGCTCCAAGTTCCGAGGACCTCACAAGTCCTCGAGCAGCACCAACCCTGCCAAAATTCATTTAAAAGCCGTCAAGACTCTTGCTTGAATTTCTCTACTAACCGGAGAAGCAAAGCAGCCATGAATCGCTCAGCAAGTACCTCACAGAGCTGCCAACGGCACGGGAAGGAGGCAACCAAGTCCTCTGGGATCCCCCGAGGTGATGGTACAACACAAGTTAGATTATCAGCAACCATCCCCCCTGAACCATCCCCCCTGAACCATCCCCATCAGCATTTATCACCCAACGGCCCAGCAGCGAGAAGAAAACCTGTACCCAGGGTAGAGAAAAGATGACAAGAACTGTCAAACTGACATCATTGTGACGCATCTTAGAAAACCTCTCCCGGAAAAGGACACACAGCCAAGTTCTCACAGTCACCACGTCAGCAGAAAACAGACCCAGCAAAAGATCTTGACTACGCAAGGTCTTCCTAGTGGAAGGATGTGTTTAATTCAGCGCTGCGGCGAGGCTGGACAAAGCAGCAGCAAGTACAGCAGAAAAAAAACCTTGTACCCTCCTCCTCAGGGAGGAGAAAGGCAGCCTAAGGAGTCCCTGCAGAGCTTCAAGTGAATGGATCCCAGTGCCACTTGCCAGGCCATTTTCCAGTCCAAATAATGGCTCATCTACTGGAGTATAATTCCTCTCCACTGAAGAAAGAAAGCAAGAAATTTAGAAGCCATTTCATAATTATGGTAGAGAAGCATTTTTAATTCACTATGATACAGAAAAATGATTACTTGTTTTGAGACTTCTTTACTTATTGAAAACTGCTTGGCAACTTATTTACTTACTTATAGCAAGTTATAGTATTACTTATAGTATTCTTTAATATTGCTAAGAATTCTGCTTGCCCAGGCTGCTCTGTGGAATTTTACCCAGGACTCCTGTGTTCATAAAACAAAGCAGTTCACTGTGAAAATCTACCAAAACTATAATGTTCAGAAAAATATTATGGGTTTGTCCTTGGGGAACAGGTGTGCTCTAACCAGTTGGGTCTTGGTAATGAGCAAAGATAGCCCTGTATGGATGGTAGGAGTTCTATCGGTTCTCTTAAATAAGAAAGAATGAGTAAACCAGTTGAAAAACACTCTTGTTATTCAAGAAATTGGTCAAAAGAATCTGCACGTGCTCTGGGGAAAAAACAAGGTGAGAAAGACTACGAGCCTTCCTCCCAAAGACGCCCCCCAAGAGGCAATGGGCAGGTGCAAAGAGAACATCAACTGCTGACACCAGCCTCTAGAACCAACCCAGACTCACTCATGCATATGTATGTTTGTGTTACGTAATCCACTGAAGATGGATATCCAGACTCTGTAAGTTCTTGGTAAAATGTGCTGTTAATGTGTAAGCTTTGTGGAGAGATCCCCTTGCACCCCATCCGGAGTAAAGCATCCCTGCTGTGTAACTCTATTCGAGTTGTTGAGTCTTTTTTCCGTGAATCAACTAAGGCATCAGCGTCCGTGCTCCCACTAAGACAGCGAGGGATGGGGAAAAGGAGGATCGGTGGAATTTATGAACTGAGGAAGAATAGTCTTACAAGTGCACACACACACATACACACACAGGAAAAGGCAGGCGGGACATTTCCTTTTGCTTTTAGTTATTTTAAGAACCGAATCAAGACACATTTTTACAGCAGGTGGCTGCAGTTTGCAAAGAAAAAGAGCCACGAGGCACAGTCACCAAGTTTTCTTAAAGCAGATGCCAGTTTCCACATCTCTCAACTAAAACTGAAAAATGCTCAGATCCAAACTGGAAAATAATGTCAATGACTTCAACGCAGACAATTCACAACTTCTAAACCAGGGTTTTGTCCATGCTAGGCTTGGCTAGCTATCAGGAAGGCTTTAATAATCTGATCCACTTTTGGGCAGGGGAATGAACTACACGGTCTCCCAAAGTCACTTCCAGACCTGTATTCCATTTTTTTTCCCTACTTTCATCTCTAAACTTCTTTATTTGCCAGCTTTACTTTGAACAAAGCCAGGAGCACAACCATATTTCTTCTCTATCTATATATTTTCAGCCCTATGCAGTTTAAGATCAAAAATCTTTTCAGTATGAGAACATCACCTTCAATCAAGGAACGAGGATTAGGAATACATTCCCAGAAGACATGGGCTTTTGGCAGCTGCCAGTCAGGCTCCCGGAGGGGGCAAGATGATTTTGATCGTATATTTTTAACCTTCATTTGGTTAGGCACACTTTTTTACGGACAGCTTCCAAAAAGAAGAAACGTTTGCTAAGTCAAGCGAGTTTCCACGGGCGTGAGGAGCCGTCCCAAGGCAGCAGCTTCAGTGCCATGACCTCCCCGACAACACACACAGCTGAGCAAACTACAAAAAGGCCTCTGCTCTGCACAAACCTCGGTGTAAACAGGGAGCTACATGGAGAACACGGATCTGGTTTAACCTCAGGTCTGGTCCTGGATCACCCAAACAGTTTACATCCCTGTAACCAGCAGTGTCTCCATTTTCTCATACATAAAATGCTGTTGCAACCTCAAATTGCTCCATATCTCCAGGGTCTACAGCGCAGCCACTCCAATCAGGCTCTCAACAAGCACAGGAAGTTCTTTAAAAAGGAGCTTTACAGCAGAAAAATTTATTTAATGACCTGTATTAGATGTGCCACACTGGAGAAAGGTCCCCACCAAGCAGTTTGTGAGGGCCGAGCCCTAAATTCACCCCAGAATAGACAGTTCACAGTTCCTGGGAGGCTGAAATGTTGCATTCCCCGTCCCACACATCACCATCACCCAAAAAAAGCCTTGTGGCCCCCCCATCACCATCACGGCTGGATCCGACCCTGTGCCATATCCACCACCTCTGGTTTTCAGAAACCACAGAAGAGGAATCCCAGTGCCAGCACAACCAAGACCTCCAACCGTACACGCTGCCTTCACACTCTGCATGAAAACTTTCACCACAGTGGCTGGAGGTGCAGCCTTCACCCTTCTTTAGACACCAGAGGGTTTGCTGACATCCTCAAATGGAGCAAGATTCAGCCCTAAAGCCAGGCAACTGCTCGCATGCAGGACCACCAATGCACAAAGGTACATCTTATTCTCCCTGCCCCTCTCCCAAGTCACTGCCCACCTCCTAAAGCACCAGATGCAACATTCTCCTCCCAGCATCCCCCCCAGCCCTCCAAACCCCTCTTCAAACACACATAAAGGAAAGAAAAATTTTTTCCTTCTCCTCCCAGAAAAAGCCTTTCCCTTTCCTGAACTGCAAACCTACGTTCTTCTCTTTTCAGCCATCAAAACACAGCAACACCTCAACGCAGCTATTCGAAACCAAAATAACTATAATCACACATAATACACGCGTAAGCTCGTAAGTTGAACCACAGAGCAGGAAACCACAAAATCATCTTCCTGAAAACAAAGGCTCAACAGCTTTGCTTTTGGAGAAGTATCACAGCTACGTCGTGGCCAGAACAGCCCTCCCCACACAAGCGATGCCCACCCGCAGCATCACCGACCCCCTGCCACAGGGGAAGGAGCACAGCACAAACACACCGACAAAACACACTTCACACACGACTGAGAAAACTAAATCTGAGGGGAGCGAAGCCACTGCTCCGTGATCACATCACCACTGAATAGCAGAGACAGACTCTGAGACAGAAACATCACACCCCATTTCACACCCGTGCAGGAGCAGCTCTCCAGGCCCCAAGAAGGTGATTTTTGTTCTGACAAGCACCAACCCAATGCAGCAGGACGTGGAGGCAAACTACCAGCCTACAGAATCCCAGAATCATCTGGGTTGGAAAAGCCCTTGAACTCCTCCAGTCCAACCATGAACCTCCCCCTGACCGTTCCCAACTCCCCCAGATCCCTCAGCGCTGGCTCAGCCCGACTCTTCAACCCCCCCAGGGATCCCGGGGACTCCCCCCTGCCCTGGGCAGCCCATTCCAACGCCCAACAGCCCCTTCTGCACAGAAATCCTTCCTCAGAGCCAGCCTGACCCTGCCCTGGGCAGCTTGAGGCCATTCCCTCGGGGCCTGGCGCTGGCTCCTTGCCTCCAGACACTCATCCCCATCTCTCTACAAACATGATGGAACCAATATTCCTCTGATTATTGTTATTTTAAGCAAATTACATACAAAACCTCTATATCTGCTGACATGGCACTGGGATACAGGTGCAGGTAGCTCTGTAGTTGCTAGACGAGTATCTCGCAACATGAACAATTTTTTGCTCAACGCAAAAAAAAAGAAGAGATTAGTCTTACAGATATATTACTGCCTCTGCCATCCTCTTCCTGCCTTGAGCACCTTCCTATTTGATGCCTGCAAGTCCAGCAAACCACATTAAAAGCAAGAAAGAGCTTTAAAATGACCTTGGATGGAGATGTCAAAGCACAAGACAGCTCTGGGTTAAGGTAGAATACGCCAACCAAACTTCTGCTCCTCAAGTGTTTGCTCCGGGACCAACCAACAGCAGATTCACCTCCTGGAAGACCTGAGGTAACTCATTTCCAAATCCAAGAGCCTCCCTTTTTGCCAGCACGCAGTCAGCGAGCACCGTCACCCTTTGGGACAGCCGTTCCTACCTTCCTTGGAGGAGCCCTGCATCCTGGTGGCCGGCAGCCTGCAGAGCCTGTGCTTGGTGATCTGCACCAAGCCCTTGGGCGAGGAGCGTTTCAGCGTCACAGAAGGTTTTCCCCGCGAGGAGTTTTTCTTCCTGAGATGGAAGTGACTTTTCAGAGGCGTGGTGGGCGAGGAGCCGTTCTTCCTCTCCGTTGGGGAACTGCAAAGGGAAACACCACACAGTTAGAAGAGAACAGAGAGGTGACCAAAATGTACTTGGTCCCCTTGCCCGGAGCTGAGGAGAGAAGCTGGGCCAGCAGCTCCATGCTGCTCCCCCACCCAAGGGTGACACGAGCCACTGAGCAGAAAATCGCAAGTTAATAGGCAAATGTGATGAATTTCTGGCAAAGCACAGATGGAGAATGAGGTATTTGACAGCCTAACTCAACTCCTTCCCTTCTGCTTTGTGCTCAGCTGATGCAGGGGAGAGGAGAGAATCACAGAATCATTTAGGTCGGAAAATACCTGTAAGATGATCATCGTGTCCAACTGTAAACCTCACACTGCCAAGGCCACCACTAACCCATGTCCCTGAGCACCACATCTACACATCTTCTAAACACCTCCTGGGATGGGGACTCAGGCACTTCCCTGCGCAGCCTGTTCCAGGACAAAATTCAGGGAAGCCCGTTCCTTTTGGTGAAGAAATTCTTCCTAATATCCAATCTAAACCTCTCCTTGCACAACTTGAGGCCATTTCCTTTCATCTTATCACTTGTTACTCAGGAAAAGCGACCAACACCCACCTTGCTACAACCTCCTTTCGGGTGGTTGTAGAGAGCAATAAGGCTCCCCTCACCCTCCTCTTCTCCACACTAAATCCCCCCCAGTTCCCTCGGCCGCTCCACGTAAGACCTGTGCTTTAGATCAGGGGTTCTCAACCTTTCCTTTATCACAGAACCCCTTTAAATACCTTTTGTGGCCACAGACCACCAAGACTTAATTCAAGATTTAAAGCACTAGACTGCATCCAATATTTCTTTCCATTTTCTCATGAAGGGTCTTCAAATTTGGAAAGCAGGGGAATAAGTTAATCTGTTACTGCACACACTCCTATTATATCTTTATTGCAATGATTCCATATGAACTTAAAATAACAGCATCAACACTCTTCTTGCTCCAGTGACCCATTTTTATGGTGTTTTACCATGCTAATTCCGAATCTGATGCCAATTTTTACATTAAAATTTGATGAAAAGTTTTTACAACTCTTCTCATGTCCCCCCTTGTCCATCTGCGTTCAGTGCCCGTATATTTTTGTTTACAGGCCCAGGGCCACCACTTGGAGGAGCAGACTTCAGCCCTGTTGTGGCCCTAAAGGGGGCTGTTGGGTTAAGAAAATGTCTTTAAGGGAAAAACTACCTAGTTAAAGCGGGTCCCACCAACCATACTAGCACCAAAGATACTAGCACGTCAGGCCAGGTTGGGGCGGGAGGGCTTGAGAATGAGATGAGTATTGAGGGGAAAGGGCTGTGGGAAAAGGAAGACCAAATGTTTCCAGGGTGGATGTTCCCCACCCCTGCTTCAAGCCTTCTCAGACCCCTTGTGATGACATCGGAGCCCCCCAGGAGTCTGTGGACCACAGTTTGAGAACCACTGGTCTAGACCCTTCACCAGCTTCACTGCCCTTCTCTAGACATGCTCCAGCACCTCAAAGTTTTCTTGTAGTGAGGGGCCCAAAACTGAACCCAGTATCCGAGGTACTTGGCACTGGTGAAGCTGCACAGGGGGACAATCATTTCCCTCGTCCTGCTGGATTTTAGTGAAATGAGGGTGGGGGTCTCACCCCCCCGACTGCCAAAAAAAAAATCCAAAGCAATCACAGCTTCTCCGGGCACTCTGCTCCAGAGTGATCCTCCCAGCACGACCCACCCGCAGACACATTCCCTAACAAACCAGGAGAGCAAGACAAGGATGAAAACCTATGGTGAAGCACTGAGCAGCGGATCCGAGAAACAGAAGCAGGAATTGAGGCAGCAGATTCTCAATCAGTGCCACCTTACCAGCTCATTGCATCACGTAAAATAGTTATTTAGGCCATGGCCCTCAATTTTCAAGAGCTCAGGCTTGGCATTACTGCAGCAAGAAAGGAGCCAAACCGCATATCCACAATGCTGAGAGTATCTCTGAGTTCAGTGGTAGAGCAGAGATCACACAGCTGTGCCACCAACCCTCACCCCATCCCGTTTATCCCTTCCCTGCAGTCTAGGCTGGACTTGCATCCAGCCCTGCCAAGAAGAGCAGCACAGAACAGCTCTCCCACCAGGAGCACAATGCAATGAAGCCCATGTAGCACTCCCACAACACACCAGACATTCAGAGTTTAGTCCTGACTTCTAAACTGTTGCACAGAATCCTTCAGGCTGGAAAAGCCCCTCGGGATCACCGAGTCCAACCCTCAGCCCGACTCTACAAAGTTCTCCCCTACCCCACATCCCCCACAGCTCATCCCAACGGCCCTGAAACCCCCCCAGGGATGGGGACTCCCCCCTCCCTGGGCAGCCTGTTCCACTCTCGGACCACTCTTGCTGGGAAACATTTTCTCCTCCTGCCCAGCCTGACCCTCCCCTGGGGCAGTTTCCAGCCGTTCCCTCTTGTCCTGTCCCTGATCCCCTGGGAGCAGAGCCCAGCCCCGGCCTCTCTGCAATGTCCTGTCAGGAGCTGCAGAGAGGGATGAGGGCTGCCCTCAGCCTCCTCCTCCTCACCCTGAACACTCCCAGCTCCTTCCCTGGCTCCTCACAGGATTGATTCTCCAGCCCTTCCCCAGCCTCGTTGCCCTCCTCTGCCCTCGCTCCAGCCCCTCCAGATCTCTCTGGGATTGAGGTGCCCAAACCTGGACACAACCCTCCAGGTGTGGCCTCAGCAGTGCCGAGCACAGGGGACTGTCACCTCCCTGCTCCTGCTGGTCACACCAGTGCTGATCCAAGCCAGGAGGCCGTTGGCTTTCTTGGCCGCCTGCTTTTCTCTTGCTTTTCTCTTTCCAAGTGCAGTCACTTTGTCTGGAGGCATCCTGCCTTCCTGGGTTGGAAGGCCTCAAATTTGAATTGTTTTAGCAGTCTGGGTAACTGACTTTAACATTTCAGACAGAGGTGGGTTTTCTTCTCATTTCCCATCCCTGTTCTCTGAAGACTTTCCCACAGCACTTAGGAGGCTCCTCCCTGACCTGAATAACAGACTAATATTCAAAGGGAAGGAAACAGCTGTCTTGATTTACTTTCCAACTCCCCTAATCTTGTTGTGTTGAGGAGCTGGCGAAAAGAGAAGTGGTTTGAATCACATATTGTGTGTGGTCTGTCCCTGTGAAGTGTTGTGCAGATGGAGCAGGGGTGGGAGGTGAGCTCTGCCTGCTGGGAAGAAGTGCCGACCGTGGTGTTCTGCTGGTACTTTGCTCCCTTGGGTGCCATCCTTTATGCCACCCACTGCTGTAACCCAGCGTGTCCTCCCTGAAGGCTCTCGCTCTTCCTTGTCGAGTCAGTGACAGATCTGTGGTTGTAGCTGCCTTGGGAGAACTGTGCCAGACCAGCGGATACTCCTGGGGTCTTGGGCAAGTTCTGCCCCCGGCCATGTCTCATAAGGACAGAGTAAAATAGGAAAGTTGTAAATGAAGCTTGGGGGAAGGAAAAGGCGTCTGGGCCGAGTTATCTGCGAAAGGGCTTTGCACTAGGCTGGGAATTGCGACTCTACAGAGAGATTTGGATAAATTGGATTGCTGGGTCAATGTTAACGGGATGAGCTCCAGCAAGTCCAAGTGGCAGGTCCTGCCCTTGGGCCACCACAACCCCCTGCATGGCTACAGGCTCGGGGAGTGGCTGGAGCTGTCTGGGAGAGAAGGGTCTGGGGGTTCTCACTGACCAGCAGCTGGACAGGAGCCAGCAGTGTGCCCGGGGGCCAAGAAAGCCAACGGCCTCCTGGCTTGGATCAGCACTGGTGTGACCAGCAGGAGCAGGGAGGTGACAGTCCCCTGTGCTCGGCACTGCTGAGGCCACACCTGGAGGGTTGTGTCCAGGTTTGGGCACCTCAATCCCAGAGAGATCTGGAGGGGCTGGAGCGAGGGCAGAGGAGGGCAACGAGGCTGGGGAAGGGCTGGAGAATCAATCCTGTGAGGAGCCAGGGAAGGAGCTGGGAGTGTTCAGGGTGAGGAGGAGGAGGCTGAGGGGAGCCCTCATCCCTCTCTGCAGCTCCTGACAGGACATTGCAGAGAGGCTGGGGCTGGGCTCTGCTCCCAGGGGATCAGGGACAGGACAAGAGGGAACGGCTGGAAACTGCCCCAGGGGAGGGTCAGGCTGGGCAGGAGGAGAAAATGTTTCCCAGCAAGAGTGGTCCGAGAGTGGAACAGGCTGCCCAGGGAGGGGGGAGTCCCCATCCCTGGGGGGGTTTCAGGGCCGTTGGGATGAGCTGTGGGGGATGTGGGGTAGGGGAGAACTTGGTAGAGTCGGGCTGAGGGTTGGACTTGATGATCCCGAGGGGCTTTTCCAGCCTGAAAGATTCTGGGATTCTGTGAAAAATACCTTCCAGTATTCAACAACCCTCACTGCAGTTTCCCTTTTAGCCCTGACCTGTGTGAAGCCAATGGACACAAAATACAACCAGTGCAACCACACCGCTCTGAAGACAACCAGAAACTTACCCCGAGCTTCCTTTTCTCTTGATGATTTTTGTCCGACTCTTCACTTTGTAACTGGACAGTGTGGCATCGCCGAAGGAGGATTTCACCCCGCTGAGACCGGCCTCCGCAGTGCTGGGAGGCAGCGGGGCCACATGAGGCAGGTTGAAGGCTGGAGGCTTTTTCTGATCCTCGGATCGCCACCTGAACGCTGACTTGGACGTGGAGGGCGAGGTCTGCAGGCTGGAGGCTTTCCACTTATACTTGCTGGGAGAAACACCCATTTTGGACTGCAGTCCCGATTTCTTCAGCTTTGCTCCCAAATCTGCTTTTGGTGATAGTTTAGCAACTTTTTCCGCTCCACCAACGACTTTCTTGGCACTTTCCGAAGCTCTAGGGCTGACCCATCTCTTCACAGCACGAGAGCATTTACCAGGGTTTGCAACCCAGGTGTAATTAGTTTTCTTGAATTTCGTAGCTTTGCTGGAGACGGACGTTGAGGCAGCTCTTTGGAGACCGGCAGATTTGGGGCCTACAGAAAACTTGCTCTTCACTGGAGCCCCCCCAACCCCTACAGTGGCAGCCTGAGCTGGTTTGGAGCATGTCTCACCATTTCCAAGAAGCTTCGGCTCTCTGAAACCATCCCAGCCTCGCTCACAACCAGACGGCCAAGGAGCCGGTGGTTCTGCCTTCCTCCGTACCACGTGCCGAGCCCCCTCGCCATCTGCCAACACCGAAGGCTGTTGGGGCTCCGATTTCAGCGTCACGGCGCTTTCACTGGTGCTTCCACAAGAGGCAGGGGAGCTGCTGGCCACGTCGCTGGCCAGATGCACGGTTCGAGGCTTATCCGACACGCTCCTGTACACCGAGCTCACGCACCGGTGAGATGAACTAAATGAAACAGAGAGAGAAGGTCGCGTCTCTTCGCTTTGGCTCACATACTGAGATTTCTGCGTGTCTTCGCTGTCACCTGAAGCGGTGACCTCTGTTTTCAGCCCAGAAAACCCACAGTAAGAACCCACGTCAGCAAAATCTTTCATATCTACAAAGGGGCCAGCCCTCTGTGGCAGCTGGATCCCCACAACTATATTACCATCTGTGGTCAAGTCCACATGTCTCTCCGGGGATGATTCTGGTAGCTCAGGGGCCTGGTTGTCCACACTGTTTACAAAAGCCTGAGATGTGCTGGCAATTCCACCGCTGCCACCATCAAACGCTGATCCCGGCGGCCGGTTGACGAGGGAATATTTTTTCCTCCAGGAATGCCCCTGGCGCATCTGGAAATCCCTGGGAGTCTGCTGGGGGTACCTGGCTGAAAACGCCCCCCTCCTGCTGAAGGTAGGCTGGTGGGGGTTGTTCCACCTCGGTGGTGCGCATGGCAGAGGCCGTGGCATGTCCCCGTGAATGTTTTTATGGTCATTTATGAGACCTATAGAGAAGAAAACAGAGTCTGTTAATCACCAATCCCATGGGATTCCAACAGCAACACAGGGCTCACGTGACAACAAGGACAATCACTCCCGCAGATAAAAACAGTGCTGGAAGGAAAAACTTAAATATCTCCCTTAATTCTCATGAAAGTCAGTCCCAAAAGCCATTTCACAGGACAGCTCAAAGCAGGTCTGAACCACAGGCTCACCAACGGATCCTTAACACACTGCACTAGTGCTGTCAGCCACATTTTGCCCCTTTACACTCTTTTTTTTTTTTTAATCTGCCAAAAGGGATGCTTGAATTATTGTTTCTGGAGCCTGATATTTAAAAAAACAAAAAAAACGCTGATCTTATTTCCAGGTATCTTTTCAGAGCAGTCTCTGAGGGTCTGCTCATGTACGGAGCCCAACACAGCCAGCCCCAAACACAAAGCACAGAGATATTTAGGTTGAGAAAGACCTTTAAGATCATTGAGTCCAAACATTAACCTCACACTGCCAAGTCCACCACTAAACCACGTCCCTAAGCACCAGATCTAACCATCTTTTAAACACCTCCCAGAACTGCGACTCCATCACTTCCCTGAGCAGCCTGTTCCAAAGCTTGATAACCCTTTTGGTGAAGAAATTTTTTCTAATATCCAATCTAAACCTGCCCTGGCACAACTTGAGACCATTTCCTTTCATCTTATCACTTGTTACTCAGGAAAAGAGAGCAACACCCCCCTCTCTGCCCCCTCCTGGCAGGGAGTTGCCGAGGGCCAGGAGGTCTCCCCTCAGCCTCCTCTGCTCCAGACTGAACCCCCCCAGGTTCCCTCAGCCGCTCCCCAGCAGACCTGTGCTCTAGATTCTTCACCAATTTCATGGCTCTTCTTCAAGGAGGCTCTGAGGAGGCCCCAGCTTCGCTGTGGAGTCACTGCACATCCCTCTGCCAAGCCACCACACCTCCCCAGTGCTTTGGCCTACTAATGAAGTCGTTTGGATGACAGACACATCAATTTGAGGGCCTGCGCTTGTTGTTCAGCCTTAGCGTTTAGAAAACCCTGCTAACAAAAGGGATTAGCAAAGGATTTTTGAGCCTTTATTTTAGGGACACGTCCGTGTAGAAAAGTTTTTCCATTAAAGGATTTTTTGAGCTTTAACTTTAGGGGCATATCAGCGTAGAAAGGTTTTTCCTACATGAGGGTTCACAGAGCTGCTGGAAGAGCAGATCCCTCCTGGAGGAGGCGAGGACCGTGTTTACCTCCCTCGCATCACACTCCCCCACATCACACTCCCCCACGTACGAGTTCCTGGACAAAGGCAAATCCCCCACAAGCAGAGTTTGTAGCTTTACTAACGAGGAAAAATTACCTTGAGGTCTATAAATAGAGCGAGATAGTGCTAAGAACAAGCGCTGATGCACACCAGAGCTAAGAAAGGGGATGCAAATATATATATCCCCCCCCTCCCCTCCCTGCTCCTCCACCATGCTGAGGAGTCAAGGGACGGAGGGTGAGGTGCACATGCCACCTCTGTGCCACCAGCCCCGGGGGGCTGCAGGGCTGGGGACACCCCAGCCCCAAGGGTCACAGGCCCTGCAGGGGCCAGCAGTGTGGGGATCCCCCCCCTAGTCCGTGGGGACCCCCCAAACGCCCCAGCGGGCTCTAGTCTCTGTTCCCTCCCCGTCTTGGCCCACCGGGGACTGCTGGGCCCTCTCCCCTCCCCCCTTCTCCCCAGCACTCCTGGGTGCTCTCCACCTCCCCCACCCCCTGGGCC